AAGTAATTAATGTCAGATAACAGCATCCCGCATAACAAAACAGCAAAACTGTCGTCGGCCGCATGCAGTCGCTTTTAATTTATTGTCCTTAATGCAACACGGAAAAGGTATAACGTGGACAAAAGTGAAAATTTATAGCTTTCAGCGAATTTTCCAATTAACCGGACTCGTGCTGGCGTGGACGCGGCACAATATTGATTCTTTTTGCGAACCCGTCTACCGCTGCAGACAGTTTTTATTTGCTATACTATTATAGCTGACCCCGCGAACTCCATGCCGCCTCAGAATTAAATACGTCAAAGGTTTTTTAAACTTTATTTACTTTATTTTCTGAACGCACCCTGTATGACAGGTACAAACAGTTTGTATGGGAATGTTTTGATTGTTAGTATTTTCCATACAATTTCTTCATATTTTTTGTGTATGGGAAAATAAAATTGTTGATTTTTCATGCAATTACATCATATTTACTCACCACTTAAACCTCTTTTAAGGTTCTACAAATATTTCAAAACCAAAATTAGCCAAATCGGTTCAGCCGCTCTAGAGGTTTAGCGACAACTGACAAACGTCAATTCATTTTTATATATATTTATGAAGTAATAGCACAGGATTTAAGTTTTTTAATATCAAAACTACAATATTTTACTAGCTTTAATACCTTATTGTATTCTTAAGAAGCTGTTAAGAAAAAGCAAAAGTTGCATAATGGATGTGAAACACAAGCAAGCTTTCGAAGTTTTCATTATGGTTTGCGATATCACGCAGGAAGTTTAATATCAGAGCAGATAATAATTGTAGTAGGTAATATGTTTTATTTACATAGAAAACACCCAGACCAATCAATCATTTATACTCAAGTGTTTGTATGGTGCGAGGAATAGATCTCCGCGACCATCGGCAGTAAAGCGGTATGCTAAACTACTAAACCACGGCGACAGACATATGTACACAATCTCAATCATTAGTTTTAGATTACACTCATATATGAATCTATATGAGATTCAAACTATTGTATTAGCGAGATTAAGATAGAGTCGACTGTCAGGTCACTCGTGGTTAAGAAAAGATCGTTAACTTTTTGGATATCAAAAATCCAAAAGTGCGAATGAATAATAACTCGAATGTTTTGCACTGGTTTTATATCAATACAACGTGTTGGCCACGTGTTTTTATTTACAACACTATCATACATCGACCCGGTAGACCGCAGACTATCGGCTCGACGAGCTCTCAATGAACACGCCACGAGTGACCTAAATTTTTATTCAGCATGCACACATGTACAATGGGACAGATCGTATGTAAACACTAATTGGAAAACTAATCTTGACGGCCTCGGTGGTCTAGCGGATTAGCACACCGCCTTATCTCCAATGCCGCCGGTTCGATTCCTCGCACGGTGCAAACATTTGTATTCATGATTATGATTGTTTGTATCGGTCTGGGTGTTTTCTATGTATATTGTGTATTTATAAAAAATCTGTCTAAGTATTTGTATCAGTTGTCTAGTACCTATAACACAAGCTTTGCTTCGCTTGGGACTATTTGGCGGTGTGTAAATTGTCCTGGAATAGTTATTATATTATAATGTATGCATATATATATTGCATTTACAGATCTATCATAACCAAAAATACTAATTTTTTGCAAAAAAAGAAGTGATGAAAAATACGAAAATATTCCTTTTTTCCAAATTTTCATTGTAAAATCGTGTTTAGAGGTTATAACATTAGCTTGTGACATCACTTCTAATCTAAAGTATACTAAATACACAGGAAATATGAAAGGACATTCCACATAACGCAGCAAGTTACTAAAATTAGTTTTTAATGCTCCATAAAAAAACACTCAAAAACAAATCCGATAAAATAATTCATCCTTTATTGGAATAGTTAGCAATATTTCGTTCATTCTTTTTTTACTGTCCTCGTGTAAATTTTTTGTGGCGTTGTTAATAGGAGGCGTTACCCCACGCATTGCTTAGCAACACATTTGATAAATTAATGTTTAGATTGCTAGAGGATTATTATTTTTAATCTATATCTATAATGTTATAAAGTAGTAAAGTTTGTGAATTTGGATGAAAAGGTAAACTGTAATACTACTAATTTGATTTTCAAAATTCTTTAGCCCATTTATCGAGGAAGGCTATATACTATCTTAATCTTAATAATATTATAAACGCGAAAGTTTGTGAGTATGTATGTTTTTTACTCTTTCACGCAAAATCTACTGAAATTTTACAGTGATATAGCTTACGAATCAGAAAAAAATATAGGCTATATTTATTATTGAAATTTTACGCGGGTGAAACCGCGGGCCGAGATAATAAACATAACGCTACGACCAATAGAAGCGTAGCTGCATTGAAGAATCTTGTAAAAACGGATAAAATTGTAATAAAATAACTGATCGGCGTAGACTCAGATTATTTAAGTATAATTTTGTTCGTAATACATTCCTACATTTTAATGTCAAATAATAACGTAAGAAAATTGTTTTGGGAACGGGGCCACGCGATAAGCGTTATCTTAAGACGTATCAGTTTACTATGTTAGTATGTAAACATTAACTTTATATCACGATAACGATAAATATGGGTACGAACACCATGATTCAGGAAATTATTAAGGTATTGAAGTATTCGCGTATTATTCCATATGAGAATCTAATAGAATATTTAAAAAATGAAACATTACCAAACATTACGGTCTTAAATTGTTAAATAACTATACAATAGTTATAAATTGAGTTCTTTAATTAACAAACTGTCCGAATCGTCAATAGCAAAGTAGAATTCCTGGACAAATGATTGTATTTGAGTGATAATGTAAAATGAGTTCCAGAATGACTAATGGCAAATTATTAACCAACCTACTCAAACTATCACAATCAAAATTATTTAAACAAACATAAAAGTAAAAAAGGATCCCCAAGGAAGAAGAACCAATTCGCAAAAATGTCCTTTTGGCGTGGAATCAAACTCCCCATGGTACGGTGTATACAATACATCCTTTTTAATATCTTCTTTCAGTTCTATTTATTTTTAGAATATTATAATATTCAAAAGAGTAAATCAGAAAGTTTTTATTACTCATATGTTCCAGCGTCTGCTGCAGACGACCGTCGATCTACTCTGGAAAGGAATTATGAAATAACATTGTTTTGCGCTGTTTCGTAACGTTTTATATCTACCTGAATAATAAATACAGAAGTAAAGTATTAATATCATATTATTTGATCAATAAAAGAACTATCAAACAATGTTATAAAAGTCAGTTTAGTCTTAATTATATTTCTAAGCACAGTACAATAATTTGATTGTAATCGATATTGAGATTACAGCATGGTATCCAAATATATTCTGAATAGTCCGAAACCCTATCATTGAGATACATGTGTTCCTCTTCAATTTACAAGAAAATAATTGCTTATGGTTACAGATAGATAACCATAAATATATATGCTCAACAGTAAATTGTTGAGTATGTAACAATTTGTGATAAAATCTCGTAACTATAATAACTTATTTAATAACTATATTTATTTGTTTATGTAATACGTATACTGAACAAATCAAGAACATCTGTTATCATTGCCATCGTCGATTATACAATGTTATTTAGTTTTTATTATTTAATGCTGCTTATTATGTCATATTTTATGTTCTGCCATCAGATAATAAAGCTTAGATATAATCTATGCACATATTATTAAGTAACGGTGCACACAATATAGATACGTATTTATAGATAAGTATGTATATAAATAATATTAGATCAAATTAATCCTTGTCTTTTGTACAATGTAAAATAGAATAAGAATAAAAAACCATAAATGTTTTTCGATCGGTTTATCCTATTCTCAGGGAAAGGCAAAAGACTCAGCCCATACAGCTATTGGCTTCGGCAGTATAAAACTGGAATTTACTGGAATGTTTTGCAATTTAATTTCTAATTACATAAACTAATGTAGGTCTCCTTCTGAAGAAAAAAACATTGATATCCGCGCTAAAACATTATTACCGCGACAAAACATATCTGTCACAATTTTATACCTAAGCCCGACTTTGTCAATGAACTGACAATATAGATAATTATATAATGGCAAATAGACTGAAAATTATTTTAGTGTCACATGACCTGCGCATGTACAACTCTACCTACAAATGCATCTGCTGCGCAAGCTTCATCTTTCTATGGGCCTGTATATCTTTTTATGAACGTTAATAATTTATTCTAGGGTACATAGAAGTCTATTAGCCTAATACAAAGAATAAATTTTATGTGAACGCCGATCAATTTATCAATTTAAAAAAAATTGAATAGGACTGAGAGGTTGGATAAAATTAGGATAGGACTGATAAATTATGCCATGGGCATGCTTAATGTAAAAGAAAATAAAGATGATTCATAACATATTTGTTAGACAGAACATAAATGTTAAAGTATTATTAAAACTATCTGTAATGAGTATATAAACGTATGGAGCAGCTAGATGAGAGAATACGATTATCTAGCAATGTACATTACAATGCGAACTTCCGATGCATTAAAAATATGAATTATTACTAAAAAAGATTCGAGAATTAAATCGGCAATGAATGATTATAATACTTTTAATAGTCTTAATTAAATCTAAAAAAATAATGACTTCTATTTTTTAATTTAGTTCTGGCCGATTAACAGGTTTTATTTTTATCGCCTTTGATGGAATTTCTACCTACTACGCATGTAGAATTAGGTACATCTTCCGTTCTATTAGATTCCTTATTTCATAATAGGTAGGTACGAGTATAATAAATGCAACTAAAGTTACCGCGAGCATAGCTCTACTTCCATCTCATCGTACTCGCGTGCCACTCGGAGTATTGACCTTTTCACTATAAGCGATTTAGCGTAATCAAACCGGTTTCGATATTTTATCATAATCATAACATGTTATGATTTATAAATTAAATTTTAAATCATGGTGTTCTTGTGGAACATTAAACCCACCTGTGCTCGTAGTAATTTGGTATTCACATAAAATCCAAGGTCTCAAGTCACAAATAAATAAAAAAAACAAAAAAACACAACACACGCGACGTAGGTAAGAAGGTTCGAAAATTAAACTTGCGCGGGAAAACGAGTTGTAGTGAAGTGCATAGCCGATCGATAGTTGCAACGAGAATCGATATTATTTTACGTAAAACACGTTATGAACCGGCGTCGTCGCACGTGACTGCTGCCAGTGTGACGGAACGAACGCGGCAAGAGCGGCCACCGCCCCCGCCGCCCACCACCCCGCGCTGTCCGCTACACACACACACACTTTTAACTTACAGCAGACGTTTGATAAACAAATTACAAATTTTAGGTGGTTGTGTATACGTACTCTACGTTGAGAAATTGAAGTTTTAAGATGTTTTTGAGTATTTCAGAAAGATTTTGTATTGATAAAATGTTGGCATAAAGAACTTTCGATACATCTCATTTAGATATTCTATTTTACTGTAAGGCGGGACGTATGCTTTTTTTTTTGAGAATATGATTGAAACCTATGACAATACGACTTCAATATTTTTATAAGTTTAGAGTTAGATATAAATATACTTTTACACAAATACTAAAACTTTGATTCTAATGCAGTTAAGTTGATACTGTATGTTGAGTATATTATACATCCAAGAAGAATAGATAGGTACTATTGCTTCAAAATCAATTCCGATTTGTGTTGTATTGTATATCATTCAATAAAATGGAAAGTAAACGAACGAAGACGACTGGTAATAAATTCGGCTCTACATTTTCAATCAGACAAACCAAATAAAAAACCTATGCATTGTATTTGCGGAGTATTCTCTGTCTCCTTTTAATGCACGTTCGGAAGAGCATCGTTAAGACTTCCGTCCTTTTCTAGCGACTGAAGGTGAGCGAGCGACTGCATACATATGACCGTCGGCGACCGATAACATAGGTACACCTATTATCATACTAATATAAGTATCCACTTAAATTAAATAACCGTTTATGAGGGATACTTATTATTAATGAGTATGGGAAATTATTATTTTCAGCTTATAATAAGTGCATCAAGAATAATTATGATATTGTTTTTTAATGGATAATCCGCTAATGGTATTCGCTGACGGAGTACCAGAGGAGCATACTAAAATTAGTATAAAGGCAGGACAGTTAGCCAGTTGTGCTCAAATCACCAGAAGTTAACCACGATGTCTCTTTCGGCCGAACTGACGGTACATTATTGGCTGACGCCAGTGATCCCCTAATCCTCCTTACTAAGAATCCCCTCTCCTACCTGCGAAATAGTTTGTGGTTAAATAGGTATTATTACCTACAATGTCTAGTCGATTGCTGGCACGAACAAAATTTTTCCACCGGTCTGTACCAGGCGAAGGAACAATCTTCGTGTAGACCATGAATTATTATTTTACCGAAATTGTATAGCAATTTTGTAGTAAATTTCGAATTAATCGAATAGTATTTTAGTAAAATTATATAATGTATTTTAGTAAATCTTTTTAATGAATATAATAATTCAAATTTGAAATCAAACGTTTCGATTCAACAAGTAACATAGTCAAATTAAGAGTCTGTGTTCATTTAAGATGATTTAAAATTTAAAGTATTAAGTAAACATATTTATTCTAGCTGGATTATATAAAAAGCATTTCGCGGATACCTAAACGAAGGACGAAGCTCATGCCATACTTCAAGATTTCACGAATCGAACTACAAGCAGATATAATTGGAGAGAGGTAACGAGGGGCGAAGAAATTCCTTATTGCTTTTTGTTACATAATAATAAAAACAATTTTTTTATATAAACGAAATGCATACAAAAGAAGTATATTATGAGTAAAAAAGGAACAACACTAATTACCGATTTTAACAAAATATGTTAAAAATAGCAAATTCATTGTCCATTGAAATCTGTACAAGCCCACAACAAAATATGGTTGAAGTAAAAAATTCCTACATTCAGTTGATTGATAAAATTAAAAATTGATCATTTTGTTTTCATTATAGTTTCCGGTAATGAGCAATTATACGGCTACGAGTTCCGCCCGTAGCGGCGCGACGTAGCGCGCCGTAGAACAAACGTTTCGCTCGAACTACGCCTCGGTACTTATGCAAAAGAGGCCAATATTTCATCGCTCCGCCGTCTATTGCATGCAGCCAGTATTATCATAACAATTGCTATGTACTTGCACATAAGAATATTATACTTACATGCATTTACGATACTTAAAACTGGCTGAAATAACAGTCTCTAAACTGGAATTATAAAGAAAGATTTGATTATTGTATTTTTTTTTTATGTAATTGATGTCTGATGATAAATTATAACCATCGTATATTTATCTATATATATGAACAGTACTATGAACATCACATTATCATGAGACGTCTGCTATACCATGCCTTACCATTCCGGAGAACTAAGATGTTATGCTTCATATCCTTAAATTTCAATGCCGTAGCTCTAACTGAAACATACTTTAAAAGGAAGCTATTGCGACTATCAGAATAGAATGAGGCACAAAAGTGTATCACCCAAGAAGACTTCCTAATACTATATCTAAAAAAGAATATTTTAAGTATAGTCATTATAATACATTCATACATGCCAGTAGCGCGTCAAAAGTTATTCACAAAGATATGAATGAGAACTACAATAATAATAATATTCATAAGCAGTGTTTTGTATTATTAATAATAATAATATACGTAGTATAAAATACTACCTACCGCTACCCTCTCTTGAGCAAAAAAAATAATATAGGTATAACTGCGGAAGTGGAAAATACACGGAATTTGCTTATACTGAAGTGGATGGCATTATTCAGCTGAATATGCAATTAAATAGGGCCAGTTCAGCGTCAGCTATAAGCAGACTGATGGCGGTTGCGTGCGAGTGGGACAGCTATACCCGCCACTCGATATTATATTGAACAAGTTTATAACTACGTGTATTAGACGAACGAGTTGGTACAACGTTTTCTCATTTCCAGGACGAAACTTTTCTAATATTATAGTTTCATTCATATTGTCGGTAGTTTCGCGGAGTTTTCTTTCGTGGAAAATGAAAGACTATTTCCATAACTATTATTTCGCTTTTATAGCTTTGTTAGTTTCTTTTGCTTCAAATAGATTTGTTAAAGTTAGAAGTTTTCTACTTTATCGCTTGGAAATAATGTTACTTCTTAGAAAGTGTTATATTATAAGCGGCTACACTAAATGAATGGACGGATGGAACTTCAATTAATTTATTTAATAGGTACAATCGAATAGTTGCTATATATAAAATCTAAAACTTAACATAATTGGTTGAACTCGTTGAACATTGTATCATAGAAATGGGTTATTAAAGAGCTATTCTAATAATGATAAGTCTGCTTAGGTTAAAGACTTTTTCTCAGCTATTTCCCATTCCAATCAACCATAGGTCGCCTTGTATGAGTACATGTTTAGACTCATTTGATAAGGCAGGAAACTATCTTAGCAGAAGAAGGCACCTTTGGATTGCTATGGCGGACGTTACATCAGCCTTCGCTTGCGTACAGATGTTTTTTTTTATATAAATAATTACAGTATACCAAGTAAGAGGCATGCGACAATCAACATAGAAATCGCTACGCACTCATTATTAGTGTAATCAGTGTATAATAAAGACAAAGTCTGCATCTTAGATAAATGACAATAAAGTTTTTTTTTATTTATCAATAATCAGGCGCAAGATCTAAAACAACTGTGTATGTTCTATTATCCTTTAACGGTATTAATGAAAATAATAAACCGATATTTGCAAAACCCATTTGCTTTTGGATACAGATGTTTTTTCTAATATAGTCAAAGAACATAGTAATATTATAATTGTGATTATAAATGCTGTACAATCTGACGAAATAATATTTCCAACGAGATAGCAACGGAAAATATACATTAGAAATATTTCTTTGTAAGTGAATATAAAACCAACGCTCCCACATTGTTAATGTTAAATCATAATTTAAAAGAAATAAACGAATGTATCACACATTTTAGAATATATTACGAAAGGAGATAGCGTTAGGTACCTACGTACATAGTGATATAATGCTGAGAAGATCGAATTGAATGTAAATGTTGATTTTTAATTATATGAAGCTCTGCAATTTATGCAGGGCGGTGTCTCAGTTTTCTATGTAAACAGCGACACCGAGCACAATTTGCGTCGGAAACACGCTGTAGCGATGTTCTAGATAATGTTACTGAATTTTAGGAATTACCACATATATGTACATATACGTTCAAAGGTTTTCGAAGAATTTATACTATGTTGTATTATTAGGCAGATACTTAGACCAATACGTGACTGTTTTGAATATTTGAATATCTCTTACTCCTTTAATCAAGTTATTTGTTACAATTCGTTCAAGAACAACAGTAGTTCTACACTAGGCGACTACGAGACCCATGACTAAAGTTTTCAACATTTACTAATGTGTAGGTATCTAAGAAATTCATTAAGCAAGTATTTTGTTTAGAACACCGCAAAAAATTAACAACGGAACAAGAATAAGGCACAGGTGGCTTTACGGCAAACCAAGTTTATTTATCTTCAATTAAAATTTCAATTAAAAATATAAAACTAGAACAACAAGTACAAGGTTAGGAAATAACGGTGGCGGGGCGCGCCTGGATAACTTTCATTAGAAAAAGTTCTTTTGTCGTCGAGTTAAACTTTCCTCACAATGGTCGTAATTAAAAGTTGGCGGCAATGCGCTCGGTGACAGCGGCAATCCGCCATAATCTCGCCGCCAGAGGGCGCTAGTAAAAGGGCGCTAAAGTTGCCACAGATAAACATTACAACTTCCCGCCTATTTTCTTGTTGCATTAACGAATGATTAAATGCTTAGAGGTTTGAACACTTATCTAAAAGATAAGTTATCTATTTCTAAATATTCTTAATGTACTATGAGAGCTCTCTATAACTGAAGATTTCGTCGAATTAGTTTTATTTAAAAGTTTCTATTTCCATTAAACTAATAAATAAATAACAGTCATTTTAATGATATTATAAAATTAATCAACATAAATTCCGTATCTAAAGTAAATTAATTAAACGATTAACTTCGCGATAATATACCTACCAAATATCACTTTACAAATTAATGACCATACGATACGGAAATTAAACGCTGCACGGACGGGTGGGGGTAGATTGGCCCCCAT